GAAATGTTGTTACAGTAATGAAATTGTGAAAGATTGATCGGAAATTTTAAAAGTGCGCGAAACTAAAGCTATTCAGTTTTCTAGTTTTCTTCTAAGAATGTCTGGAGCAGGTCGAGAATTCTGGGCTAAAATGATAGAAGGTAAAATAAACACAGTTGATCGATTTTAGTGACAACTGAATGAAAATACGCACAACTGGTAGACTGTACAAAGCTGTACAAGCCGAGTTTACGCTGATCAATAGTATAGTACCCGATAACTGTTAGATAATAAACTGATTGATTATTGGCAAAACTGATCGAGATTTGAGACAGCTTACCATGGTTGATTACGGATCATATACATCGATTTAAACACGACGGATTACCGATTGATGATATGCCGGCTGATCGATATTACGTATCTGGTAGAAAATTAGCACAATATAGTAATATTTTAATTGATCGATAACTGGTCGGTAGACCCGATCCGCAAAACTGATTGATTGCAGTTCATAGTAAACTATTAAGTGATTGTTCTTAATAATGACGACGAAAAAGCAATAATGAAAGGATCATGAGTCCTTCTTTCTGATTTTCAGCGCTTATATCCATGATTCAGAACAAAAAAAGATTAAAAATTTATAACCAATGAAAAAAATAATTTCGAAACAAACGGCGCGCCATACCCACTTACCCCTCCCCTAAGCCAACATTAACACTTACTTCTCACTTAGGGAAAAATGCTGGCTTAGGGGAGGGGTAGGTGGGCAGTTTCCCAATCCGACTTTGTTTGTTTGTTTCATGCCCTGTTCAGCCTGTTTGTGTAAAAAAATGCACTTTATTTGAGTGTCAATGTTGTATTTAAAGTACTAATTAGGGACACTACTTGACCACCAGTTTACACGGTTTAAGCGCCCCTACCGACTAAGCTAATCCTGATTGTCCTGATTTCTAATCGCTTCTCTTGCTAAATCTCTCACGTTTGTAATCCACTTTTCAGATAGAGAAGGATGGTCATCTTTTGGAGCGGATTGAACAGAGACAAACTGTGCGACAGCAGCGACTTAGAGACTACTGTGAGAAGCACGCTTCAAGCAGAAATCGAAGCGATCGATACCATCATCCTGTAATTGTTAACGATGAGTACAAAGTAATCTTCTGCTATATTCCCAAGGTGGCCTGCAGTCAATGGAAACGTGTCTTTCTTGCTCTTGATAACCGCACCGATGTGGATGATGTGCATGATGACAAACATTATAAATTTCTCTTATATGATTATTCGGACGAGGATATTAAAGTGAGGCTAAAATCTTACTTTAAGTTTCTTTTTGTTCGCGAACCACTCGAGAGGCTTTTGTCAGCCTACAATAACAAGTTTGTAAACAAGCAATGGCCTTGGAGAATAATTCAAAGTTATAAAACGAAAATTTTGAAAAGATACAAACAAGACGAACCTAGCTGACATACTAAGCCATATGGGAATAAGGGAGAACATTCAATTAAGTAGACAGATACTCTGAATAGTTTATCTAGAGGTGAAGCGGATAAACCTTTAAGAATGATCTACAAATAATCTTGCTGAAACTCTACAATGTAATCTGGAAAAAAAATCACCTAATAAAATCGTCTGATATACATTACTGTAAAGAACTACGTCGCGTTAATTTCTAATACCTTAATTTCATGGAGCGTTAATTTCCTCTAATAAGGTATCTTTGCACGTGCACCACGCGTATCGTACAATTCTTAGCTGTCATTGCTCGACGGCGACATGAAATATCCTGGTCACGTTTTCGGTTTGTTGTCATCCGGATTTTGCTACCATGGTAACGTGACGTAACGGCTTCTTCTTTCTACTGGCAAAAGGAATGGATCGGGCGGTGACCTTTCCTCCGTTTCATACCCACAATACTACAACTGAACTTCTTAAAAACTATGACCCGATACCCAAGGAGAAGATCGCTCAGGTGGGTAAGGCCTTTGAAGAAGACTTGTTGAAATGTTTAATTACGATTTCCCAGGGCCTCTATCCGATATTATGCACGATTAAAAAGCCAGTATCTATAGCAAATACATATCTACGAGGAAAGTAATTCCGATTTGTAAATTAGAGGTCTTGGTCGGAGTAGTGTTAACGGGCCGGTATTACATTCGCCTGAAATTTAGCCTGCTTACCAGGCGCTTATAAATAATATGGGCACAAGAAAGAACGGGCCTCTTGAAGAGAACACGTTCCCTCTCACGTCGCGCGCCCTTTTTTTTTCTTGTGTCCGTGTTACTTACAAGTGTCTGTTTCGCTAGGCTCAGTCTCCAGCCGTGGGTGTTTCGATGTGCCCGCGGTACTCCCCATCCGAATGGAGACTGGGGCTCCTGCTACCTATGCAAGCTACCTGAAATCGACTCGCTCGTGCATCGGACCTTTCGACATACTAAGCCATATAGGAATAAGGGAGAACATTCAATGAAGTAGACAGATAATCGAAATAGTTTATCTAGAGGTGAAGCGGATAAACCTTTAAAAATGACAACAAATAATCTTGCTTAAACTCTACAATGTAATCTGGAAAAAAAATCACCTAATAAAATCGTCTGATATACATTACTGTAAAAAATACTATTCTTTTTAGTCTGTTCTTTTTGGCAACGGTTAACTTGATATCTTCGGCTGTTTCTCACACTAAGACAATGACTAACACTACACTACGTCGCGTTAATTTCTAATACCTTAATTTCACGGAGCGTTAATTTTCTGTAATAAGGTAACTTTGCACGTTCATCACGCGTATTGTACAATTCTTAGCTGTCATTGCTCGACGGCGACATGAAATGTCCTGATCACGGGCCTGTTTTATGGAGTAAGTGAACACAACACAGTAATGTTCCTTTTCTTTTTTAACTGAGATACGGTTCTGTTCGATTCAACGCCAGGAAATCTCGCTAACATTCTGGCAAATTAAATGAAGTTGAACAAGATCAATAAAGTTTGAAAAACTGAGTGCGAATTCACGCTTTCTGTTTGTTGTCCGATCCAGATTTTGCTACCATGGTAACGTGACGTAACGGCTTCTCCTTTCTACTGGGGAGTCTTCACGCTTAACATGAGTATAAATCTACTCGTAGTGACGTTTTCTTGTTGTCGTCGTCTCACGGGTGTATCCTTTGCACAGGGCCCACCAAAGAGCTCCCCAGAGAGCTTGCTCGCAGGCTAGATGTAGCGTTGCAGTTGTGTTTACTTAACCTTGCAAGACAAATTTTACTACCTTCCCCGACCTGCTAGAATTGCAAATTTTGCTCGAAGACCAAACTGCAACGGAGATTCTTTTCCAATCCTATGCCGCGACTACCACGATACATTGCATAACCTGATTGGCTTCCATATCACATTACGTCAGAGGACAGGTTCACAAGATAGGACATAACTACAACGGTACAGCTAGATACGTACATCCCATCTCGGAAATCGTTAGATGATGATGATGATGATAATGATACCTTTATTTAAGTATCAATCTGTAATAGCGGTGAAGAGCCACTAAGGGGGGAAACTAAAAAAAAAATTAAAAAGAATGAATAAATAAATTAGTTAATTAAAAAAAGAAAAAACAGAAAGTTTATAGAGTGGAAGCTTCTTTCACGTTATAAGGAACAGAGCTCCATACCTTTGGGCCCATATACATGAGCGAGTGCTTTCCAAAGGAGACTGTGTTAAATCTTGGTATAGCGACTCTCCTCTTCGCAGATGCTCCTATTCGGTATCAAAAAAATAGAAAGCGCGCGGGGGACGATTCCGCGTTTTTCTTTCTCCCCAGTCTCCCAACAACTCAAAGAGGCCTGTGCAGAGGAGAGAGGTATAGCGAAGTCATGATTGCGCAATTTATACTTAATTGCTGAAATATTCATACATGTTAGGAGCCAGAAGTCGTGTCGTAGAAACAAAAAGATGTCTCTTCCTTTCAATCCTTCCACGGCTGTCCTACACATTCGAAAGGTGAAAATACTTGGAGTAATTTTGCTTCTGTTGGTAACGGTTTATTTGATAACTTTATTGCCGACGAATGAGTGGAACCCAGGTGAAGTATGGCTTGTACATGTTAAAATACATGTATTTATTTAATAACTAAATCTGAGAAAAGGCTCCTTCAGCGTAAAGCAACCTCTTCACATAATAAATAGTTCATAAAAATAATAAAAATGACTCTGATTATTGGTAAGTGCTGATGATGAGCAGTCTAAAAGTAAAAAGTGAGTAAAGCAAATTTTTTGTCAGATTGAATATACAGAAAAGAACACTTAGAACCAGGGGCAACCAACGACGGTTTTCTCCTAAACAAGTGCATTGAAAACACTTTTTAGACTATCCAGAGTACTTTTAGATCTCTACAAATGCATTCTAAGCGGCGCTGTAAAATTCAGTGAATTTGTTCGGTGATCTTTTCCAAACTACAAGGTCTTCAGTATTTCGAAGTATTATTTTCCCGAAAATTTTAGATGAAATTTGTAATTTTACGAAAGCGAGCATTTTCTGATTCCTCTCCCCATCGCCAAGCTCGCTCAATTTTTGCTTCTTCGAACAGATATTTTACAGAAAACAATCGTTGGGTGCCTCCTATAGAGCCATGTATTTCAATCATCATGATAAGGGAAAAACAACAGAAAACTTTGGTCTATATTTTCCGTGTGCGTTTTAAGGGATTTCAGAAACCCTTCCAACGCAAAAAAAATCCTACTTGCATTTGAAAATGAACAAATAGCTTCAGAAGAGGATATCAATTAAAAGGCTTTCCATATTCTTCTCCATATTGTAATGACTCTCCATCATTGAGGAACACGGCTAATCGTTTTCATATCTGTCATGTTCAACACGAGTTCGTGAAAAATTGGTAATGTACACAAAATAAATTTAGAACAAAAAAGTCTCAAGTTAACACATTTATTAGACAACTGATTGCATGGACGGATTTTATTTTATTTTTTTTCCGGTAATCTTTTGTCACACTTGACGTGCAATTCACCCTAGTCAAGACAACCAAACCTGCCGTAGAATATGCTGAAAAACAAGACAAGGTAAGTTGGGGTTTCAAAGACAACATGGTGAGTTATTTACAGAATTATATTAATATCATTACGGTGAGTTATAATTAGTCATTGGTTAGCTACCAAATCATGAAATTTTAATATTTGGCATTCAGAATATATTGACATTTCGAAATTTTACGTACAGAATATTGAAATTTTAAGTTTTGACATTCTAAAAAAAAAATTCAAGATTCTCCATTACAAATCTTGAAATGTCTCAAGATTTTGAATACCAATTAGTGCTTTAAATACAACATTGACATAAGGGGTGGACCATTTGATTTTTGATGGGGGGGTTGCAGGATTTTTAGACTGCTAGATATTTTTTTTTATTGCTCCAGCCCTGCAGGATTTTTTTTAAATCTCCCCGTCCTTGCATGATATTTTTTTTAATGGAAATTTAAAACACAAATTTTGAAGTTTAATAACTTGACCATCACGAGCCACTCAAAATTCACCCTTTAGGCTATTAAAAACCACCTTTACGTGCAATGCATTTTTAAGTTTACATCTTTCTTTCAAAGTAATAAAGAGTTTCATCTTTATTCAGTGTACAAAGAAATGCATCTCCACTAACCTGCGGCTAGTTGATTTCCCTGTCAAGCTAGTGCCGGGGTCATACATGCCTTCTCAGACAAAACTTTATATTGGTCTGTTGCATTTTTATAGGAGCTGTGCATGTGACTATTGCATAAAATATTTTACAATAAGCAGTCTGTAGAAAATAGCATTCTCAAATAGACCTATCTTATAGACTGTTGCATTTTTATTGTTACTGTTGCATAAAATATTTATAGAGAAAAATTTCCATTATTATTTATTGATCAAATGATTTTTATTACAAATCACAATTTGCAGTATTTTAAATATTTATAGAGAGAATTTCTTCTCTCCAAAAGCTGCGATTATTTTGGTCAGCACCGAGTATCGAGACCTGGCTGCTCTGCAAAGCCACTACCCGAAGTCCACATTTAATGCACTAGCTCTTCAAATCTGACAAATCTGATTGCCTGAAAACTGCAGAATGAGTGCTCAGCACATGCTCAAAAATTGGGACCAGCCAGGGGTATCACTTCCAGGTGCTGACCAAAAGGATTGCACCCTCTGGAGATAAGAATGTTGCAAATAGCTATTAAAGCTTTGCACCTTACATTTAAATTTGGCTAGATATGCAGATGTACAGGATGTTGAAGACAACCTTGTTCATTTATGAAGAAAATTTTAAACTGTTATTATTCTTAAGGCTCAACTGTTCTTGATGGATAAATATAGACAATTTCTGCCAGCTTGTGGTTTATTAAAGACATTGTTAAATAAACATTTGTCACTACAGTTGTCAATAGGTGAGAAAATCAGATTGGTAGTTGACCCCTTTGAATCATCTTTTATATAGGTATATGATCTATAAAATTACAATATTTCAATGCCTAAATAACTAAAACGATTACGTTTTAATTTATGTGCTACAGACTGTTTACTATTATTTTCTTGGCTTGAAAATAGGCAATGAACACAAAAGTAATAGAACTCTGCAAAAACACGAATGACCCAGAGGGAAAAAATGCTCTTCGATCTATTTGATCGTCTTTTGTCTCGCGCACATATCCAGCGCATCCGTTTCACATTCTTTGTATATTTTTAACCCTGCACCAATTCAATGTGGCCTGCCTTTACTCTTGTTTGTCCCATTTCCTTTTCCATAAAGTAAATCTTATTTTGTTACAAAAATACCTGCACGTGACAACTGTTAGGGTGGGAATCTGAATGCATGAATATCTTTGAATCATAATATCCTTCTAGATCAGAGGGTTCACTTTAATAGGAAATCTAATTGGTAAATCATGCGTCGCGCTTGCAAAATACTAATTCACGCATCAAAAAATGTGATGCCCAGTCCTGTATCATGTGACTCACAGTTACTTTTGCGGCCGTCACGCATCACGCAAAATCCTTTGCCACGCCCAGGTTAAGGCTGCTCGATTTTTTTTTCCTTCTTAAGAATTCTGCAAGAAATTTTTTTTTAATCAGAAACATATGCTCGATATTTTTTGGGGGGATTTGCACAACCCATCAAAAATCAAATGGTCCACCCCTAAAGTGCATTTTTTTACACACACAGGCTGAACAGGGCATGAAACAAGCAAACTAAGTCGGATCATTTTACGTTTCTGGGAAACTTTCCACCTACCCCTCTCCTAAAGCAATATTTTGCCCTAAGTGAGAAGTAAGTGTTAATGTTGGCTTAGGGGAGGGGTAGGTGGTCAGTGTCCCAGAAACGTAAAATGATCCACAAAGTCTTCTACCTACAACTCCAGCCGGTCCGTACTACCTTTACCATGGCTTAATTCTTTAGTATAGCTAAGACTTTGTCGACACGAATCCATTTAAAAGACATTAAACGATCTCGCAAACAAAACGATTGTTAGAGAGGATAAAATCGTGACAGATAAATATTTGCCTGCGTAGCAAGCGTTTCCGTTACGGAATTTTCGGTTTTGGCCGCGCGAAACCGCACAGAAACGCCTTTGCTATGCAGGCTAGATAAACATCATTCTCATATACTATTAACACCTGTAATAATACGACGTGATTTAACCTACCTTGAGTTCTTTTTCAGCAATGCCTGCAGTTTTATCTACTTCGGGCAAGGTCCTGACCACTTCAACATCTATGGAGGAAGTAAATACCTCTTATTAGCCGAGTTTTCGGTCCGCACTGTAAATTACGGACTGAGTTTTTTTCCATCGATTTATGGCCCAGGCGCGAAGCGCGCGGGCCATAAATCGATGGAAAAAAACGAGGATCCGTAATTTACAGTACGGACCGAAAAAACGAGGCTAATAAGATGTTTATTATATGGCTTCTTCCTGTTTGGGGGACCGGAAACAAGTGCAGGACGCACGATTTGACAGTCATTTGACAGGTGTCAAAAAAGAAAGTTTTTATTGGCGCGCGAAAACAATATCACATAACAAAGGCTTTCCGAGAAAGTAAAAACAAATTCACCATGTTAAAAAAATTTATTCGGTCAAAACTAAGAGCACTGTAAGTTTTAGCTCTTTAGTGTAACGCTGGAGTATTTTGAAAACCGCACACTGTGTCTGTCTAGAAGTCGTTTCCATCTTTCCCCCGTTTGTCCTTGTGAAAAAACACTGCAAAAGGCAAAGAAGCTTTTCAAGGTAAGTTTGTTGTCATTGTCGAAGGATTCGCTCGTTAATTGTTTTTGTCTTTCTGCCAGTTCATTCTCGTCTTCAATGGTGATCTGCGTTAAAATGTTCAAACACTGACTAGAATTCTCTTCCTCGGTAAGGTTACGATTCAGTTTCTACAACAGCTTTGTTCTCATTAAAACAAAGCTAGGTTAAAATTTGGAAAGGTAAGGTCAACATCTCAGTCCTCAGGGTTTACATACATATTTCAAAGTTTATTCGATGGAAACTACGAGCACTGTAAGGATGTAAGTATTCACCCGTTAATGACGCTGGAGTCTTTTGAAAACTGGACATTATTGTGTCTGGCTCGAACTCGCTTCTATCTTTCTTTCGTTGGTCTTTGAAAAAGCACTGCAAATGGCAAAGAAGCTTGTCAAGATGATCGGGTGCAGGTATGTTTCTTATCATATTTGTTGAAGGGATTACTCATTTTCTCCAAGGCAAAACGTCTCGAATCTCTGCCAGTCGATTTTCGTATTCTTAACTGTGTACCACGATAAAATTTTCAAACACTGACTAGAATCCTCTTCGATAAGATTACGAGTTAGTTTCTTCATCGCCTTCGTTCACAAATAAACACAGTTTAAAATGTTGAAGGCCAAAGTCAACATCCAAGTCCTCAAGGTTGACAGGCGTCTTATAACTTTATTTAAACATTTTTTCCACGGTAAAGAGATTTTGACCTCCAAAATGAGCATTTTTTTTTAAACGTTTTGGTCCGTATAGCAAGTTACGGACCGCAAATTGACCAATAGCATGGCGAAAACAGACTCAACCATATCATAAAGTCAGTTACAGGGACAACAAAGATGAAAAATAAAGATTATTATCGAGTTAAAATAAAGCCTCATTTTAATTGCATTTTTTCACCAATAGTTATCATTATTGCCCGCGCGGACAATGAAATCGGCCAGCGGACGTTAAATTTCCACAAATCCTTGGCCTGCCGCACCCTTTACTTGGCGTTTCCTTGACAAGAGTCCTTGTTGAGTCATCACCGTTGGCAAATATCAATTCTGACAAGAGGACCGAGGACCGAGGACGCCTGGGAACAGGGCTGCGAAAATTCCGTAACGGACACGCTTGCTACGCAGGCTAATATTTATCTGTCACGATGTTATCCTCTCTAACGATCGTTTTGTTTGCGAGATCGTTTAATGTGTTTTGAATGGACTCGTGTCGAATTGGTCTCAACTATACTAAAGAATCGATCAAATGTCTGTACGATCGATCAGTTGTCCGTAATCAACCATGATAAGCTGTCTCAATTGATCAGTTTTGCTAATAATCGATCAGTTCATTGTTGATCAGCGTAAACTCGGCTTGTATAATCTACCATTAGCTACCATTGTGCGTATTTTCATTCAGTTGTGACTAAAATCGATCAGTAGTCATTATGATCAATGAGTTGTGCGTATTTTCATTCACTTTTGACTAAAATCGATCAGTTGTTATATGATCGATCACTAGTGCGTATTTTCATTCAGTTGTGACTAAAATCGACCAGTTGTTATATGATCGATCAGTTGTGCGTATTTTCATTTAGTTGTGACTAAAATCGACCAGTTTTTATATGATCGATCATTAGTACGTATTTTCATTCCGTTTTGACTAAAATCGATCAGTTGTTATATATATGACAAATGAGTTGTGCGTATTTTCATTCAGTTGTGACTAAAATCGATCAGTTGTTATATGATCGATCAGTAGTGCGTATTTTCATTCAGTTGTGACTAAAATCGATCAGTTCTTATACGATCGATCACTAGTGCGTATTTTCATTCAGTTGTGTCTAAAATTAACGGGAAAGGCAGGGTGAAATTTTTAGTAGTGTCGACTGATCTATCGGTCGATATAGCGATCGATAGTCGGTCGACACTCGGTCGACACTCAGTCGAAAGTCGGTCGACACTCGGTCGATATAGCGGTAGATAGTCGGTCGATAGTCGGTCGACACTCAGTCGATATAGCGGTCGATAGTTGGTCGATAGTCGGTCGAGACTAGGACGATAGTCGGACGACACTCGGTCGAGACACGGTCGATAGTCGTTCCAGATATGTCTCGGCCGATATAGCTTTTCGTTCATCGATACTTCACCGACACTTCACCGATGTATCGGTCAGTAATTGGTCAACGCTCGGTCGATGGTCGGCCGACACTTGGTCGATAGTCAGAAGATAGCAAGAAATGGTGAGCCTCACCCCAATGGCTGTTTTGGTCGACTGATGCAGGACATTGCAGAACAGTATCGACTGTAAATAGAAATCAATGACCTTTGTTAGCTAGCATTTCCTACATTTTTTTGGTTGGAAAAAAAGAAATTAGAAAACATTTCCTAGCTTGAGTATTGGTGTTAACGCGGCGCATACTGTTTTCCTTTTATTGGATAATCAAAGGTTACTTACCATTCAATATTAATTTCTGTTACGCATGGCCGTCTTTATTTTGAACACAATGTATGAGTATTTTCCTAGCTGTAAATTGAAATCATTCCCACAATAAATGAATGTGTTCAGTCTGCTGGATATTTTGGAATGGAAATAGATAATAATCTGAATTTTTCTAAACATATATCAAATGTATGCAAAAAGATTAATAATCAATTTAATGTTATGTTGCGCTTTAGAAAACTCATACGCAAGGAAATCTTATTCAAACTTTACAAAGCGTATATTTTACCTCACTTTTATTATTGCTCCTCTGTCTGGCACTTTTGTGGAGCGCGCGATGCGGATAAGCTTGAAGCTTTAAATAAAAGAATACTTAGATTTATACTTGGAGATTACTCGTCTCCATACAACACTCTTCTCTCAAAAGTCAGCTCTACTTCTTTGTTTAACAAACGCATTCAAAATTTCCTCATTCTGTTATATAAGAGTTTGTTTTTCACTCATTTTCCTACTTATATGAAGAATATGTTTTCACTCCGGTCCTCTTCCTATGATCTTCGTGGCAACTACATTCTTTCACTAAGTAAACCTAAAACAACTACCTATGGTCTTAACTCCTTTTCTCACTTTTCAGCTAAGCAGTGGAATGCACTGCCGGACTTTTTTCGTACCAGTTTTCTTGCAGACTTTAAGACTAAAATACAGGATGTTACCTTCATGTAGATTCTTTTTGCCTGACATACTTAAACTTAAAATTGTGAATTGTAAATGATATTTTCTTTCCTTGCATTTAATGTATATATATATTTTCTATATAGCTTTTATGTAGTGTCAGCTCGAAGATATTAGCTTGTTAGCTACTCTAAAATTCGAGTATAAATAAAGTTTTATGTTATGTTATGTTATGTGTCACCTTCCTCGGCGCATTATCAGCGTGTTCTATCAATAGCTGATCGTTAAACAAAGGACTGTTCCCGTCTTCAATGCAGAAATATATAAGTTTAATTTGTGGTCTCCGCACAAGCGAGAACTTGGCGTGATGAAGCAGGTCAAAGCCCAATAATAAAAGATGTGTATTCCTCGCTCTTAAAGCATGTCATGAACTGCCTTTTCCTATTCATTATTCGTCCACTTCGGGACTGCGGGAGCAGTCGTTTCTCTCGTCCTTCTTTAAGTATTCTTCGACTGCGGGACCACAGAAGCAGCAGATTCAACTTAGACTCTGACAGGTTCTGTTTAACAGCCAAAAATCAGACGATCGGTGATGATACAAACTGGCAAAAAAAAGGTTACCATGTCCCTAGTTTCCAGTGCCCTTCGGTTCGCTTCATAGAGTAATTGCGCCTCGCACTGCCACATGTTCCTCCATCTCATGATAACAGTAATTAACGATGCCATTGCTTAAAAAGAAAGCCATTGGACTCACCTGCTAAATTAACACACGACTGATTTTCGACCGACAGTTGATCGATATGTCACCGACATATGACCGATAGTCGGTCGAGGTGCGTCGTCGAAATATCGACCGATACTCGGCCGATAGTCTATCCCACGATCGACTAACTATCGACCGACTGTCCACTGACTATCGAACGACTATTGACCGCCGACCATTGAACGCTATATCGACCGATAAATCGGTCGACACTACCTACAGTAAACAACATCTAATTTTTAAAGAAAGAAAAATTAACGCCACGTACAAACAGAAACGAAAGTTGTTTAAAGAACAGGGACTAATTTATTTAAAGTTGATCGAAATCCAGGAAGCCGATATTGAGAGTAATATTCTTCTCACAGTACCCTGCTAGCAGTGGTTTCTCCAGGCCAGACGCTGGAGAAACCACTACTCGCAGCGACCATGAAGATGAAATGTTGTTACAGTAATGAAATTGTGAAAGATTGATCGGAAATTTTAAAAGTGCGCGAAACTAAAGCTATTCAGTTTTCTAGTTTTCTTCTAAGAATGTCTGGAGCAGGTCGAGAATTCTGGGCTAAAATGATAGAAGGTAAAATAAACACAATTGATCGATTTTAGTCACAACTGAATGAAAATACGCACAACTGGTAGACTGTACAAGCCGAGTTTACGCTGATCAATAGTATAGTACCCGATAACTGTTAGATAATAAACTGATTGATTATTGGCAAAACTGATCGAAATTTGAGACAGCTTACCATGGTTGATTACGGATCATATACATCGATTTAAACACGACGGATTACCGATTGATGATATGCCGGCTGATCGATATTACGTATCTGGTAGAAAATTAGCACAATATAGTAATATTTTAATTGATCGATAACTGGTCGGTAAACCCGATCCGCAAAACTGATTGACTGGAGTTCATAGTAAACTATTAAGTGATTGTTCTTAATAATGACGACGAAAAAGCAATAATGAAAGGATCATGAGTCCTTCTTTCTGATTTTCAGCGCTTATATCCATGATTCAGAACAAAAAAAGATTAAAAATTTATAACCAATGAAAAAAATAATTTCGAAACAAACGGCGCACCATACCCACTTACCCCTCCCCTAAGCCAACATTAACACTTACTTCTCACTTAGGGAAAAATGCTGGCTTAGGGGAGGGGTAGGTGGGCAGTTTCCCAATCCGACTTTGTTTGTTTGTTTCATGCCCTGTTCACCCTGTTTGTGTAAAAAAATGCACTTTATTTGAGTGTCAATGTTGTATTTAAAGTACTAATTAGGGACACTACTTGACCACCAGTTTACACGGTTTAAGCGCCCCTACCGACTAAGCTAATCCTGATTGTCCTGATTTCTAATCGCACCTTCTGGCTAAAGCTCTCACGTTTGTAATGCACTTTTCAGATAGAGAAGGATGGTCGCCTTTTGGAGCGGATTGAACAGAGACAAACTGTGCGACAGCAGCGACTTAGAGACTACTGTGAGAAGCACGCTTCAAGCAGAATTCGAAGCGATCGATACCATCATCCTGTAATTGTTAACGATGAGTACAAAGTAATCTTCTGCTATATTCCCAAGGTGGCCTGCAGTCAATGGAAACGTGTCTTTCTTGCTCTTGATAACCGCACCGATGTGGATAATGTGCATGATAACAAACATTATAAATTTCTCTTATATGATTATTCGGACGAGGATATTAAAGTGAGGCTAAAATCGTACTTTAAGTTTCTTTTTGTTCGCGAACCACTCGAGAGGCTTTTGTCAGCCTACAATAACAAGTTTGTAAACAAGCAATGGCCTTGGAGAATAATTCAAAGTTATAAAACGAAAATTTTGAAAAGATACAAACAAGACGAACCTAGCTCTAATAGCCCTGACCAGGATCTTACTTTTAGGAAGTTCATTTACTATGTGAGTGATGTTGGGTTTGATCGAAATGAACACTGGCGATCGTACGGCCCAATTTGTCACCCGTGTGATATAGAGTACGATTTCATCGGTCATTTTGAGGACATGCCAGAAGAAGCACCTTATATCCTACGGCAAACAGGAATGGATCGGGCGGTGACCTTTCCTCCGTTTCTTACCCACAATACTACAAGTCAACTTCTTAAAAGCTATGCCCCGATACCCAAGGAGAAGATCGCTCAGCTGGGTAAGGCCTTTGAAGAAGACTTTGAAATGTTTAATTACGATTTTCCAGGGCCTCTATCCGATCTCATGCACGATTGAAAAGCCAGTATCTATAGCAAATACACATCTACGAGGAAAGTAATTCCGATTTTTAAATTAGAGGTCTTGGTCGGAATACTGTTAACGGGCAGGTATTACATTGGCCTGAAATTTAGCCTGCTTAGCCGGCGCTTATAAATGATATAGGCGCGAGAAAGAACGGGGCTCTCAAAGGGGAACACGCTCCCTCTTACGTCGCGTGCCCTTTTCGTTTTTCCGCCTATGTTATTTACAAGCGTCTGCTACGCAAAGCTCAGTCTCCAGCCTTGGGTGTTTCGATGCGCCCGCCGATTCACACCCGGCCGGAGACTGGGGCTCCTGCTACGTACGGAAGCTACCTGAAATTGACTCGCTCGTGCATGGGACCTTTTGACATACTAAGCCATATAGGAATAAGGGAGAACATTCAATTAACTAGACAGATACTCTGAATAGTTTATCTAGAGGTGAAGCGGATAAACCTTTAAGAATGATCTACAAATAATCTTGCTGAAACTCTACAATGTAATCTGGAAAAAAAATCACCTAATAAAATCGTCTGATATACATTACTGTAAAGAACTACGTCGCGTTAATTTCTAATACCTTAATTTCATGGAGCGTTAATTTCCTCTAATAAGGTATCTTTGCACGTGCACCACGCGTATCGTACAATTCTTAGCTGTCATTGCTCGACGGCGACATGAAATATCCTGGTCACGTTTTCGGTTTGTTGTCATCCGGATTTTGCTACCATGGTAACGTGACGTAACGGCTTCTTCTTTCTACTGGCAAAAAGGAATGGATCGGGCGGTGACCTTTCCTCCGTTTCATACCCACAATACTACAACTGAACTTCTTAAAAACTATGACCCGATACCCAAGGAGAAGATCGCTCAGGTGGGTAAGGCCTTTGAAGAAGACTTGTTGAAATGTTTAATTACGATTTCCCAGGGCCTCTATCCGATATTATGCACGATTAAAAAGCCAGTATCTATAGCAAATACATATCTACGAGGAAAGTAATTCCGATTTGTAAATTAGAGGTCTTGGTCGGAGTAGTGTTAACGGGCCGGTATTATATTCGCCTGAAATTTAGCCTGCTTACCAGGCGCTTATAAATAATATGGGCACAAGAAAGAACGGGCCTCTTGAAGGGAACACGTTCCCTCTCACGTCGCGCGCCCTTTTTTTTCTTGTGTCCGTGTTACTTACAAGTGTCTGTTTCGCTAGGCTCAGTCTCCAGCCGTGGGTGTTTCGATGTGCCCGCGGTACTCCCCATCCGAATGGAAACTGGGGCTCCTGCTACCCATGCAAGCTACCTGAAATCGACTCGCTCGTGCATGGGACCTTTTGACATACTAAGCCATATGGGAATAAGGGAGAACATTCAATGAAGTAGACAGATAATCGAAATAGTTTATCTAGAGGTAAAGCGGATAAACCTTTAAAAATGACAACAAATAATCTTGCTTAAACTCTACAATGTAATCTGGAAAAAAAATCACCTAATAAAATCGTCTGATATACATTACTGTAAAAAATACTATTCTTTTTAGTCTGTTCTTTTTGGCAACGGTTAACTTGATATCTTCGGCTGTTTCTCACACTAAGACAATGACTAACACTACACTACGTCGCGTTAATTTCTAATACCTTAATTTCACGGAGCGTTAATTTTCTGTAATAAGGTAACTTTGCACGTTCATCACGCGTATTGTACAATTCTTAGCTGTCATTGCTCGACGGCGACATGAAATGTCCTGATCACGGGCCTGTTTTATGGAGTAAGTGAACACAACACAGTAATGTTCCTTTTCTTTTTTAACTGAGATACGGTTCTGTTCGATTCAACGCCAGGAAATTTCGCTAACATTCTGGCAAATTAAATGAAGTTGAACAAGATCAATAAAGTTTGAAAAACTGAGTGCGAATTCACGCTTTCTGTTTGTTGTCCGATCCAGATTTTGCTACCATGGTAACGTGACGTAACGGCTTCTCCTTTCTACTGGGGAGTCTTCACGCTTAACATGAGTATAAATCTACTCGTAGTGACGTTTTCTTGTTGTCGTCGTCTCACGGGTGTATCCTTTGCACAGGGCCCACCAAAGAGCTCCCCAGAGAGCTTGCTCGCAGGCTAGATGTAGCGTTGCAGTTGTGTTTACTTAACCTTGCAAGACAAATTTTACTACCTTCCCCGACCTGCTAGAATTGCAAATTTTGCTCGAAGACCAAACTGCAACGGAGATTCTTTTCCAATCCTATGCCGCGACTACCACGATACATTGCATAACCTGATTGGCTTCCATATCACATTACGTCAGAGGACATGTTCACAAGATAGGACATAACTACAACGGTACTGCTAGATACGTACATCCCATCTGGGAAATCGTTAGATGATGATGATGATGATAATGATACCTTTATTTAAGTATCAATCTGTAATAGCGGTGAAGAGCCACTAAGGGGGGAAACTAAAAAAAAATTAAAAAGAATGAATAAATAAATTAGTTAATTAAAAAAAGAAAAAACAGAAAGTTTATAGAATGGAAGCTTCTTTCACGTTACAAGGAACAGAGCTCCATACCTTTGGGCCCATATACATGAGCGAGTGCTTTCCAAAGGAGACTGTGTTAAATCTTGGTATAGCGACTCTCCTCTTCGCAGATGCTCCTACTGGGTATCAAAAAAATAGAAAGCGCGGGGACGATTCCGCGTTTTTCTTTTCCCCAGTCTCCCAACAACCCAAAGAGGCCTGTGCTCCGAAGTCATGATTGCGCAATTTATACTTAATTGCTGCAGGCTTATGCAGAGGAGAGAGGGTCATGATTGCACGCTTATCAAATAGAATGCTAATGCACGTAGGTCATGAAGCCAATGAACTCCTGAAGCCTGAACTCCTGTGATTATTAATAGTCAATGCTCTTCAATTAAATGAATTGAGCGCTCTACGAATATACGTTCTACCCAGAATACAAGTAGGTCGTATGCATGCATATTTAATAATATTCATACATGTTAGGAGCCAGAAGTCGTGTCGTAGAAACAAAAAGATGTCTCTTCCTTTCAATCCTTCCACGGCTGTCCTACACATTCGAAAGGTGAAAATACTTGGAGTAATTTTGCTTCTGTTGGTAACGGTTTATTTGATAACTTTATTGCTGACGAATGAGTGGAACCCAGGTGAAGTATGGCTTGTACATGTTCAAATACATGTATTTATTTAATAACTAAATCTGAGAAAAGGCTCCTTCAGCGTAAAGCAACCTCTTCACATAATAAATAGTTCATAAAAATAATAAAAATGACTCTGATTATTGGTAAGTGCTGATGATGAGCAGTCTAAAAGTAAAAAGTGAGTAAAGCATATTTTTCGTCAGATTGAATAAACAGAAAAGAACACTTAGAACCAGGGGCAACCAACGACGGTTTTCTCCTAAACAAGTGCATTGAAAACACTTTTTAGACTATCCAGAGTACTTTTAGATCTCTACAAATGCATTCTAAGCGGCGCTGTAAAATTCAGTGAATTTGTTCGGTGATCTTTTCCAAACTACAAGGTCTTCAGTATTATTTTCCCGAAAATTTTAGATGAAATTTGTAGTTTTACGAAAGCGAGCATTTTCTGATTCCTCTCCCCAACGCCAAGCTCTAGAAAATTCTAGGCAATTTTTGCTTCTTCGAACAGATATTTTACAGAAAACAATCGTTGGGTGCCTCCTATAGAGCCATGTATTTCAATCATCATGATAAGGGAAAAACAACAGAAAACTTTGGTCTATATTTTCCGTGTGCGTTTTAAGGGATTTCAGAAACCCTTCCAACGCAAAAAAAATCCTACTTGCATTTGAAAATGAACAAATAGCTTGAGAAGAGGATATCAATTAAAAGGCTTTCCATATTCTTCTCCATATTGTAATGACTCTCCATCATTGAGGAACACGGCTAATCGTTTTCATATCTGTCATGTTCAACACGAGTTCGTGAAAAATTGGTAATGTACACAAAATAAATTTAGAACAAAAAAGTCTCAAGTTAACACATTTATTAGACAACTGATTGCATGGACGGATTTTATTTTATTTTTTTTCCGGTAATCTTTTGTCACACTTGACGTGCAATTCACCCTAGTCAAGACAACCAAACCTGCCGTAGAATATGCTGAAAAACAAGACAAGGTAAGTTGGGGTTTCAAAGACAACATGGTGAGTTATTTACAGAATTATATTAATATCATTACGGTGAGTTATAATTAGTCATTGGTTAGCTACCAAATCATAAAATTTTAATATTTGGCATTCAGAATATATTGACATTTCGAAATTTTACGTACAGAATATTGAAATTTTAAGTTTTGACATTCTAAAGAAAAATTCAAGATTCTCCATTACAAATCTTGAAATGTCTCAAGATTTTGAATACCAATTAGTGCTTTAAATACAACATTGACATAAGGGGTGGACCATTTGATTTTTGATGGGGGGGTTGTAGGATTTTTAGACTGCTAGATATTTTTTTTTATTGCTCCAGCCCTGCAGGATTTTTTTTAAATCTCCCCGTCCTTGCATGATATTTTTTTTAATGGAAATTTAAAACACAAATTTTGAAGTTTAATAACTTGACCATCACCAGCCACTCAAAATTCACCCTTTAGGCTATTAAAAACCACCTTTACGTGCAAATTTTTGCATCTTTTTTTCAAAGTTTTCATTTTTCTTTCAAAGTAATAAAGTAGTTTCATCCTTTATTCCTTTTCAGTGTATTAAATATATTTACAATGGTTTATAATGACAAACTTGCATCAATTTTCCTAAACATTTTTAGGATGAACCTGCTGAGACTACATTTGTTATATTTAAACCCCTGAGTTCACAGGCATTAAATTGTTAGTTGAAAACCATCCGATCTGTATGATGTCATGTGTTGGGGGTCGGATAGCGCAACAATTTTTTTCAGAGCCTTCGGGTGTCTAAAAAGAGCCCCCCTCAAAACTTGTTTATTAAATGGTCTGTTTCATCTTTTTCAGTGTACAAAGAAATGCATCTCCACTAACCTGCTGTTGATTTCCCATGCTGTGCCTCATACATGCCTTCTCAGAGAAAAATATTGGTTTTGCATTTTTATAGGAATGTGACTATTGCATAAAATATTTTACAATAAGCAGTCTGTAGAAAATAGCATTCTCAAATAGACCTATCTTATAGACTGTTGCATTTTTATTGTTACTGTTGCATAAAATATTTATAGAGAAAAATTTCCATTATTATTTATTGATCAAATGATTTTTATTACAAATCACAATTTGCAGTATTTTAAATATTTATAGAGAGAATTTCTTCTCTCCAAAAGCTGCGATTATTTTGGTCAGCACCGAGTATCGAGACCTGGCTGCTCTGCAAAGCCACTACCCGAAGTCCACATTTAATGCACTAGCTCTTCAAATCTGACAAATCTGATTGCCTGAAAACTGCAGAATGAGTGCTCAGCACATGTTCAAAAATTGGGACCAGCCAGGGGAATCACTTCCAGGTGCTGACCAAAAAGATTGCACCCTCTGGAGATGAGAATGTTGCAAATAGCTATTAAAGCTTTGCACCTTACATTTAAATTTGGCTAGATATGCAGATGTACAGGATGTTGAAGACAACCTTGTTCATTTATGAAGAAAATTTTAAACTGTTATTATTCTTAAGGCTCAATTGTTCTTGATGGATAAATATAGACAATTTCTGCCAGCTTGTGGTTTATTAAAGACATTGTTAAATAAACATTTGTCACTACAGTTGTCAATAGGTGAGAAAATCAGATTGGTAGTTGACCCCTTTGAATCATCTTTTATATAGGTACATGATCTATAAAATTACAATATTTCAATGCCTAAATAACTAAAACAATTACGTTTTAATTTATGTGCTACAGACTGTTTACTATTATTTTCTTGGCTTGAAAATAGGCAATGAACACAAAAGTAATAGAACTCTGCAAAAACACGAATGACCCAGAGGGAAAAAATGCTCTTCGATCTATTTGATCGTCTTTTGTCTCGTGCACATATCCAGCGCATCCGTTTCACATTCTTTGTATATTTTGAACCCTGCACCAATTCAATGTGGCCTGCCTTTACTCTTGTTTGTTCAATTTCCTTTTCCATAAAGTAAATCTTATTTTGTTACAAAAATACCTGCACGTGACAACTGTTAGGGTGGGAATCTGAATGCATGAATATCTTTGAATCATAATATCCTTCTAGATCAGAGGGTTCACTTTAATAGGAAATCTAATTGATAAATCATGCGTCGCGCTTGCAAAATACTAATTCACGCATCAAAAAATGTGATGCCCAGTCCTGTATCATGTGACTCACAGCTACTTTTGGGGCCGTCACGCATCACGCAAAATCCTTTGCCACGCCCAGGTTAAGGCTGCTCGATTTTTTTTCCTTCTTTAGAATTCTGCAAGAAATTTTTTTTTAACCAGAAACATATGCTCGATATTTTTTTTGGGATTTGCACAACCCCCCCCTCCCCATCAAAAATCAAATGGTCCACCCCTAAAGTGCATTTTTTTACACACACAGGCTGAACAGGGCATGAAACAAGCAAACTAAGTCGGATCATTTTACGTTTCTGGGAAACTTTCCACCTACCCCTCCCCTAAAGCAATATTTTGCCCTAAGTGAGAAGTAAGTGTTAATGTTGGCTTAGGGGAGGGGTAGGTGGGCAGTTTCCCAGAAACGTAAAATGATCCACAAAGTCTTCTACCTACAACTCCAGCCGGTCCGTACTACCTTTACCATGGCTTAATTCTTTAGTATAGCTAAGACTTTGTCGACACGAATCCATTTAAAAGACATTAAACGATCTCGCAAACAAAACGATTGTTAGAGAGGATAAAATCGTGACAGATAAATATTTGCCTGCGTAGCAAGCGTTTCCGTTACGGAATTTTTGGTTTTGGCCGCGTGAAACCGCACAGAAACGCCTTTGCTATGCAGGCTAGATAAACAGCATTCTCATATACTATTAACACCTGTAATAATACGACGTGATTTAACCTACCTTGAGTTCTTTTTCAGCAATGCCTGCAGTTTTATCTACTTCGGGCAAGGTCCTGACCACTTCAACATCTATGGAGGAAGTAAATACCTCTTATTAGCCGAGTTTTCGGTCCGCACTGTAAATTACGGACTGAGTTTTTTTCCATCGATTTATGGCCCAGGCGCGAAGCGCGCGGGCCATAAATCGATGGAAAAAAACGAGGATCCGTAATTTACAGTACGGACCGAAAAAACGAGGCTAATAAGATGTTTATTATATGGCTTCTTCCTGTTTGGGGGACCGGAAACAAGTGCAGGACGCACGATTTGACAGTCATTTGACAGGTGTCAAAAAAGAAAGTTTTTATTGGCGCACGAAAACAATAGCACATAACAAAGGCTTTCCGAGAAAGTAAAAACAAATTCGCCATGTTAAAAAAGTTTATTCGGTCAAAACTAAGAGCACTGTAAGTTTTAGCTCTTTAGTGTAACGCTGGAGTATTTTGAAAACCGCACACTGTGTCTGTCTAGAAGTCGTTTCCATCTTTCCCCCGTTTGTCCTTGTGAAAAAACACTGCAAAAGGCAAAGAAGCTTTTCAAGGTAAGTTTGTTGTCATTGTCGAAGGATTCGCTCGTTAATTGTTTTTGTCTTTCTGCCAGTTCATTCTCGTCTTCAATGGTGATCTGCGTTAAAATGTTCAAACACTGACTAGAATTCTCTTCCTCGGTAAGGTTACGATTCAGTTTCTACAACAGCTTCGTTCTCATTAAAACAAAGCTAGGTTAAAATTTGGAAAGGTAAGGTCAACATCTCAGTCCTCAGGGTTTACATACATATTTCAAAGTTTATTCGATGGAAACTACGAGCACTGTAAGGATGTAAGTATTCACTCGTTAATGACGCTGGAGTCTTTTGAAAACTGGACATTATTGTGTCTGGCTCGAACTCGCTTCTATCTTTCTTTCTTTGGTCTTTGAAAAAGCACTGCAAATGGCAAAGAAGCTTGTCAAGATGATCGGGTGCAGGTATGTTTCTTATCATATTTGTTGAAGGGATTACTCATTTTCTCCAAGGCAAAACTTCTCGAATCTCTGCCTGTCGATTTTCGTATTCTTAACTGTGTACCACGATAAAATTTTCAAACACTGACTAGAATCCTCTTCGATAAGATTACGAGTTAGTTTCTTCATCGCCTTCGTTCACAAATAAACACAGTTTAAAATGTTGAAGGCCAAAGTCAACATCCAAGTCCTCAAGGTTGACAGGCGTCTTATAACTTTATTTAAACATTTTTTCCGCGGTAAAGAGATTTTGACCTCCAAAATGAGCATTTTTTTTTAAACGTTTTGGTCCGTATAGCAAGTTACGGACCGCAAATTGACCAATAGCATGGCGAAAACAGACTCAACCATATCATAAAGTCAGTTACAGGGACAACAAAGATGAAAAATAAAGATTATTATCGAGTTAAAATAAAGCCTCATTTTAATTGCATTTTTTCACCAATAGTTATCATTATTGCCCGCGCGGACAATGAAATCGGCCAGCGGACGTTAAATTTCCACAAATCCTTGGCCTGCCGCACCCTTTACTTGGCGTTTCCTTGACAAGAGTCCTTGTTGAGTCATCACCGTTGGCAAATATCAATTCTGACAAGAGGACCGAGGACCGAGGACGCCTGGGAACAGGGCTGCGAAAATTCCGTAACGGACACGCTTGCTACGCAGGCTAATATTTATCTGTCACGATTTTATCCTCTCTAACGATCGTTTTGTTTGCGAGATCGTTTAATGTGTTTTGAATGGACTCGTGTCGAATTGGTCTCAACTATACTAAAGAATCGATCAAATGTCTGTACGATCGATCAGTTGTCCGTAATCAACCATGATAAGCTGTCTCAATTGATCAGTTTTGCTAATAATCGATCAGTTCATTGTTGATCAGCGTAAACTCGGCTTGTATAATCTACCATTAGCTACCATTGTGCGTATTTTCATTCAGTTGTGACTAAAATCGATCAGTAGTCATTATGATCAATGAGTTGTGCGTATTTTCATTCACTTTTGACTAAAATCGATCAGTTGTTATATGATCGATCACTAGTGCGTATTTTCATTCAGTTGTGACTAAAATCGATCAGTTCTTATACGATCGATCAGTAGTGCGTATTTTCATTCAGTTGTGTCTAAAATTAACGGGAAAGGCAGGGTGAAATTTTTAGTAGTGTCGACTGATCTATCGGTCGATATAGCGATCGATAGTCGGTCGACACTCGGTCGACACTCAGTCGAAAGTCGGTCGACACTCGGTCGATATAGCGGTAGATAGTCGGTCGATAGTCGGTCGACACTCAGTCGATATAGCGGTCGATAGTTGGTCGATAGTCGGTCGAGACTAGGACGATAGTCGGACGACACTCGGTCGAGACACGGTCGATAGTCGTTCCAGATATGTCTCGGCCGATATAGCTTTTCGTTCATCGATACTTCACCGACACTTCACCGATGTATCGGTCAGTAATTGGTCAACGCTCGGTCGATGGTCGGCCGACACTTGGTCGATAGTCAGAAGATAGCAAGAAATGGTGAGCCTCACCCCAATGGCTGTTTTGGTCGACTGATGCAGGACATCGCAGAACAGTATCGACTGTAAATAGAAATCAATGACCTTTGTTAGCTAGCATTTCCTACATTTTTTTGGTTGGAAAACAAGAAATTAGAAAACATTTCCTAGCTTGAGTATTGGTGTTAACGCGGCGCATACTGTTTTCCTTTTATTGGATAATCAAAGGTTACTTACCATTCAATATTAATTTCTGTTACGCATGGCCGTCTTTATTTTGAACACAATGTATGAGTATTTTCCTAGCTGTAAATTGAAATCATTCCCACAATAAATGAATGTGTTCAGTCTGCTGGATATTTTGGAATGGAAATAGATAATAATCTGAATTTTTCTAAACATATATCAAATGTATGCAAAAGATTAATAATCAATTTAATGTTATGTTGCGCTTTAGAAAACTCATACGCAAGGAAATCTTATTCAAACTTTACAAAGCGTATATTTTACCTCACTTTTATTATTGCTCCTCTGTCTGGCACTTTTGTGGAGCGCGCGATGCGGATAAGCTTGAAGCTTTAAATAAAAGAATACTTAGATTTATACTTGGAGATTACTCGTCTCCATACAACACTCTTCTCTCAAAAGTCAGCTCTACTTCTTTGTTTAACAAACGCATTCAAAATTTCCTCATTCTGTTATATAAGAGTTTGTTTTTCACTCATTTTCCTACTTATATGAAGAATATGTTTTCACTCCGGTCCTCTTCCTATGATCTTCGTGGCAACTACATTCTTTCACTAAGTAAACCTAAAACAACTACCTATGGTCTTAACTCCTTTTCTCACTTTTCAGCTAAGCAGTGGAATGCACTGCCGGACTTTTTTCGTACCAGTTTTCTTGCAGACTTTAAGACTGAAATACAGGATGTTACCTTCATGTAGATTCTTTTTGCCTGACATACTTAAACTTAAAATTGTGAATGGTAAATGATATTTTCTTTCCTTGCATTTAATGTATATATATATTTTCTATATAGTTTTTATGTAGTGTCAGCTCGAAGATATTAGCTTGTTAGCTACTCTAAAATTCGAGTATAAATAAAGTTTTATGTTATGTTATGTTATGTGTCACCTTCCTCGGCGCATTATCAGCTTGTTCTATCTGTAGCTGATCGTTAAACGAAGGACTGTTCCCGTCTTCAATGCAGAAATATATAAGTTTAATTTGTGGTCTCCACAAGCGAGAACTTGACGTGATGAAGCAGGTCAAAGCCCAATAATAAAAGATGTGTATTCCTCGCTCTTAAATCATGTCATGAACTGCCCTTCCTATTCATTATTCGTCCACTTCGGGACGGCGGGAGCAGTCGTTTCTCTCGTCCTTCTTTAAGTATTCTTCGACTGCGGGACCACAGAAGCAGCAGATTCAACTTAGACTCTGACAGGTTCTGTTTAACAGCCAAAAATCAGACGATCGGTGATGATACAAACTGGCAAAAAAACGGTTACCATGTCCCTAGTTTCCAGTGCCCTTCGGTTCGCTTCATAGAGTAATTGCGCCTCGCACTGCCAAATGTTCCTCCATCTCATGATAACAGTAATTAACGATGCCATTGCTTAAAAAGAAAGCCATTGGACTCACCTGCTAAATTAACACACGACTGATTTTCGACCGACAGTTGATCGATATGTCACCGACATATGACCGATAGTCGGTCGAGGTGCGTCGTCGAAATATCGACCGATACTCGGCCGATAGTCTATCCCACGATCGACTAACTATCGACCGACTGTCCACTGACTATCGAACGACTATTGACCGCCGACCATCGAACGCTATATCGACCGATAAATCGGTCGACACTACCTGCAGTAAACAACATCTAATTTTTAAAGAAAGAAAAATTAACGCGACGTACAAACAGAAACGAAAGTTGTTTAAAGAACAGGGACTAATTTATTTAAAGTTGATCGAAATCCAGGAAGCCGATATTGAGAGTAATATTCTTCTCACAGTACCCTGCTAGCAGTGGTTTCTCCAGGCCGGACGCTGGAGAAACCACTACTCGCAGCGACCATGAAGATGAAATGTTGTTACAGTAATGAAATTGTGAAAGATTGATCGGAAATTTTAAAAGTGCGCGAAACTAAAGCTATTCAGTTTTCTAGTTTTCTTCTAAGAATGTCTGGAGTAGGTCGAGAATTCTGGGCTAAAATGATAGAAGGTAAAATACAGACAATTGATCGATTTTAGTCACAACTGAATGAAAATACGCACAACTGGTAGACTGTACAAGCCGAGTTTACGCTGATCAATAGTATAGTACCCGATAACTGTTAGATAATAAACTGATTGATTATTGGCAAAACTGATCGAGATTTGAGACAGCTTACCATGGTTGATTACGGATCATATACATCGATTTAAACACGACGGATTACCGATTGATGATATGCCGGCTGATCGATATTACGTATCTGGTAGAAAATTAGCACAATATAGTAATATTTTAATTGATCGATAACTGGTCGGTAAACCCGATCCGCAAAACTGATTGACTGGAGTTCATAGTAAACTATTAAGTGATTGTTCTTAATAATGACGACGAAAAAGCAATAATGAAAGGATCATGAGTCCTTCTTTCTGATTTTCAGCGCTTATATCCATGATTCAGAACAAAAAAAGATTAAAAATTTATAACCAATGAAAAAAATAATTTCGAAACAAACGGCGCGCCATACCCACTTACCCCTCCCCTAAGCCAACATTAACACTTACTTCTCACTTAGGGAAAAATGCTGGCTTAGGGGAGGGGTAGGTGGGCAGTTTCCCAATCCGACTCTGTTTGTTTGTTTCATGCCCTGTTCAGCCTGTTTGTGTAAAAAAATGCACTTTATTTGAGTGTCAATGTTGTATTTAAAGTACTAATTAGGGACACTACTTGACCACCAGTTTACACGGTTTAAGCGCCCCTACCGACTAAGCTAATCCTGATTGTCCTGATTTCTAATCGCACCTTCTGGCTAAAGCTCTCACGTTTGTAATCCACTTTTCAGATAGAGAAGGATGGTCACCTTTTGGAGCGGATTGAACAGCGACAAACTGTGCGACAGCAGCGACTTAGAGACTACTGTGAGAAGCACGCTTCAAGCAGAATTCGAAGCGATCGATACCATCATCCTGTAATTGTTAACGATGAGTACAAAGTAATCTTCTGCTATATTCCCAAGGTGGCCTGCAGTCAATGGAAACGTGTCTTTCTTGCTCTTGATAACCGCACCGATGTGGATAATGTGCATGATAACAAACATTTTAAATTTCTCGTATATGATTATTCGGACGAGGATATTAAAGTGAGGCTAAAATCGTACTTTAAGTTTCTTTTTGTTCGCGAACCACTCGAGAGGCTTTTGTCAGCCTACAATAACAAGTTTGTAAACAAGCAATGGCCTTGGAGAATAATTCAAAGTTATAAAACGAAAATTTTGAAAAGATACAAACAAGACGAACCTAGCTCTAATAGCTCTGACCAGGATCTTACTTTTAAGAAGTTCATTTACTATGTGAGTGATGTTGGGTTTGATCGAAATGAACACTGGCGATCGTACGGCCCAATTTGTCACCCGTGTGATATAGAGTACGATTTCATCGGTCATTTTGAGGACATGCCAGAAGAAGCACCTTATATCCTACGGCAAACAGGAATGGATCGGGCGGTGACCTTTCCTCCGTTTCTTACCCACAATACTACAAGTCAACTTCTTAAAAGCTATGCCCCGATACCCAAGGAGAAGATCGCTCAGGTGGGTAAGGCCTTTGAAGAAGACTTTGAAATGTTTAATTACGATTTTCCAGGGCCTCTATCCGATCTCATGCACGATTGAAAAGCCAGTATCTATAGCAAACACATATCTACGAGGAAAGTAATTCCTATTTTTAAATTAGAGGTCTTGGTCGGAATAGTGTTAACGAGCAGGTATTACATTCGCCTGAAATTTAGCCTGCTTACCAGGCGCTTTTAAATGATATGGGCTCAAGAAAGAACGGGGCTCTTGAAGGGGAGCACGCTCCCTCTTACGTCGCGTGCCCTTTTTTTTTTGCGCCTATGTTATTTACAAGCGTCTGCCACGCAAAGCTCAGTCTCCAGCCGTGGCTGTTTCGATGCGACCGCCGATTCACACCCGGCCGGAGACTGGGGCTCCTGCTACTTACGCAAACCACCTGAAATTGACTCGCTCGTGCATGGGACCTTTTGACATACTAAGCCATATGGGAATAAGGGAGAACATTCAATTAAGTAGACAGATACTCTGAATAGTTTATCTAGAGGTAAAGCGGATAAACCTTTAAGAATAATCTACAAATAATCTTGCTGAAACTCTACAATGTAATCTGGAAAAAAAATCACCTAATAAAATCGTCTGATATACATTACTGTAAAGAACTACGTCGCGTTAATTTCTAATACCTTAATTTCATGGAGCGTTAATTTCCTCTAATAAGGTAACTTTGCACGTGCATCACGCGTATCGTACAATTCTTAGCTGTCATTGCTCGACGGCGACATGAAATATCCTGATCACGTTTTCGGTTTGTTGTCATCCGGATTTTGCTACCATGGTAACGTGACGTAACGGCTTCTTCTTTCTACTGGCAAACAGGAATGGATCGGGCGGTGACCTTTCCTCCGTTTCATACCCACAGTACTACAACTGAACTTCTTAAAAACTATGACCCGATACCCAAGGAGAAGATCGCTCAGCTGGGTAAGGCCTTTGAAGAAGACTTGTTGAAATGTTTAATTACGATTTCCCAGGGCCTCTATCCGATATTATGCACGATTAAAAAGCCAGTATCTATAGTAAATACATGTCTACGAGGAAAGTAATTCCGATTTGTAAATTAGAGGTCTTGGTCGGAATAGTGTTAACGGGCAGGTATTACATTGGCCTGAAATTTAGCCTGCTTACCAGGCGCTTATAAATAATATGGGCACAAGAAAGAACGGGGCTCTTGAAGGGAACACGTTCCCTCTCACGTCGCGCGCCCTTTTTTTTCTTGTGTCCGTGTTACTTACAAGTGTCTGTTTCGCTAGGCTCAGTCTCCAGCCGTGGGTGTTTCGATGCGCCCGCGGTACTCCCCATCCGAATGGAGACTGGGGCTCCTGTTACCCACGCAAGCTACCTGAAATCGACTCGCTCGTGCATGGGACCTTTTGACATACTAAGCCATATGGGAATAAGGGAGAACATTCAATGAAGTAGACAGATAATCGAAATAGTTTATCTAGAGGTTAAGCGGATAAACCTTTAAAAATCACAACAAATACTCTTGCTTAAACTCTACAATGTAATCTGGAAAAAAAATCACCTAATAAAATCGTCTGATATACATTACTGTAAAAAATACTATTCTTTTTAGTCTGTTCGTTTTGGCAATGGTTAACGTGATATCTTCGGCTATTTTTCAGACTAAGACAATGACTAACACTACACTACGTCGCGTTAATTTCTAATACCTTACTTTTACGGAGCGTTAATTTTCTGTAATAAGGTAACTTTGCACGTTCATCACGCGTATTGTACAATTCTTAGCTGTCATTGCTCGACGGCGACATGAAATGTCCTGATCACGGGCATGTTTTATGGAGTAAGTGAACACAACACAGTTATGTTCCTTTTCTTTCTTAACTCACATACTGTTCTGTTCGATTCAACGCCAGGAAATTTCGCTAACATTTGGCAAATTAAATGAAGTTGAACAGGATCAATAAAGTTTGAAAAACTGAGTGCGAATTCACGCTTTCTGTTCATTTGTCCGATCCAGATTTTGCTACCATGGTAACGTGACGTAACGGCTTCTCCTTTCTACTGGGGAGTCTTCACGCTTAACATGAGTATAAATCTACTCGTAGTGACGTTTTCTTGTTGTCGTCGTCTCACGGGTGTATCCTTTGCACAGGGTCCACCCAAGAGCTCCCCAGAGAGCTTGCTCGCAGGCTAGATGTAGCGTTGCAGTTGTGTTTACTTAACCTTGCAAGACAAATTTTACTACCTTCCCCGACCTGCTAGAATTGCAAATTTTGCTCGAAGACCAAACTGCAACGGAGATTCTTTTCCAATCCTATGCCGCGACTACCACGATACATTGCATAACCTGATTGGCTTCCATATCACATTACGTCAGAGGACAGGTTCACAAGATAGGACATAACTACAACGGTACAGCTAGATACGTACATCCCATCCCATCTCGGAAATCGTTAGATGATGATGATGATGATGATGATAATGATACCTTTATTTAAGTATCAATCTGTAATAGCGGTGAAGAGCCACCAAGGGGGGAAACTAAAAAAAATTAAAAAGAATGAATAAATTAATTAATTAATTAAAAAAGGAAAAAACAGAAAGTTTATAGAATGGAAGCTTCTTTCACGTTATTACAAGGAACAGAGCTCCATACCTTTGGGCCCATATACATGAGCGAGTGCTTTCCAAAGGAGACTGTGTTAAATCTTAGTATAGCGACTCTCCTCTTCGCAGATGCTCCTACTGGGTATCCAAAAAACAGAAAGCGCGGGGGACGATTCCGCGTTTTTCTTTCTCCCCAGTCTCCCAACAACTCAAAGAGGCCTGTGCAGAGGAGAGAGGTATAGCGAAGTCATGATTGCGCAATTTATACTTAATTGCTGCAGGCGTATCAAATAGAATGCTAATGCACGTAGGTCATCTGCACGATTAATGATTACTCCTGAAGCCTGAACTCCTGTGATTATTAATAGTCAATGCTCTTCAATTAAATGAATTGAGCGCTCTACGAATATACGTTCTACCCAGAATACAAGTAGGTCCTATGCATGCATATTTAATAATATTCATACATGTTAGGAGCCAGAAGTCGTGTCGTAGAAACAAAAAGATGTCTCTTCCTTTCAATCCTTCCACGGCTGTCCTACACATTCGAAAGGTGAAAATACTTGGAGTAATTTTGCTTCTGTTGGTAACGGTTTATTTGATAACTTTATTGCTGACGAATGAGTGGAACCCAGGTGAAGTATGGCTTGTACATGTTAAAATACATGTATTTATTTAATAACTAAATCTGAGAAAAGGCTCCTTCAGCGTAAAGCAACCTCTTCACATAATAAATAGTTCATAAAAATAATAAAAATGACTCTGATTATTGGTAAGTGCTGATGATGAGCAGTCTAAAAAGTAAAAAGTGAGTAAAGCATATTTTTCGTCAGATTGAATAAACAGAAAAGAACACTTAGAACCAGGGGCAACCAACGACGGTTTTCTCCTAAACAAGTGCATTGAAAACACTTTTTAGACTATCCAGAGTACTTTTAGATCTCTACAAATGCATTCTAAGCGGCGCTATAAAATTCAGTGAATTTGTTCGGTGATCTTTTCCAAACTACAAGGTCTTCAGTATTTCGAAGTATTATTTTCCCGAAAATTTTAGATGAAATTTGTAGTTTTACGAAAGCGAGCATTTTCTGATTCCTCTCCCCAACGCCAAGCTCTAGAAAATTCTAGGCAATTTTTGCTTCTTCGAACAGATATTTTACAGAAAACAATCGTTGGGTGCCTCCTATAGAGCCATGTATTTCAATCATCATGATAAGGGAAAAACAACAGAAAACTTTGGTCTATATTTTCCGTGTGCGTTTTAAGGGATTTCAGAAACCCTTCCAACGCAAAAAAAATCCTACTTGCATTTGAAAATGAACAAATAGCTTCAGAAGAGGATATCAATTAAAAGGCTTTCCATATTCTTCTCCATATTGTAATGACTCTCCATCATTGAGGAACACGGCTAATCGTTTTCATATCTGTCATGTTCAACACGAGTTCGTGAAAAATTGGTAATGTACACAAAATAAATTTAGAACAAAAAAGTCTCAAGTTAACACATTTATTAGACAACCGATTGCATGGACGGATTTTATTTTATTTTTTTTCCGGTAATCTTTTATCACACTTGACGTGCAACTCACCTTAGTCAAGACAACCAAACCTGCCGTAGGATATGCTGAAAAACAAGACAAGGTAAGGGGTGGACCATTTGATTTTTGATGGGGGGGTTGCAGGATTTTTAGACTGCTAGATATTTTTTTTTATTGCTCCAGCCCTGCAGGATTTTTTTTTTTAATTTCCCTGTCCTTGCATGATATTTTTTTTAATGGAAATTTAAAACACAAATTTTGAAGTTTAATATCAAAAACTTGACCATCACCAGCCACTCAAAATTCACCCTTTAGGCTATAAAAGCCACCTTTACACGCAATGCATCTTTAAGTTTACATCTTTCTTTCAAAGTAATAAAGAGTTTCATCTTTATTCAGTGTACAAAGAAATGCATCTCCACTAACCTGCGGCTAGTTGATTTCCCTGTCAGGCTAGTGGATGTTATATGCATCACTCTCTGTACTTGCCCAACAGATCACTTGCCCACTGAACAAGTGAACGTTTTTTTCTTTCTAATTACGTAATGCTACTGAGAAAAGCTTTTTTGCTTTCAAAGCAAGAGAGAGGGACTTCAAAGAAGGGGAAATTGCACAGTAATCTGGCTTCTCAATATACGCATTTAGTATTTGGAGTAATCTAGAGTTTAAAAAAAAAGGAGGGTTCAAGAAATGGGGACCTCACTGTAGATTTTACCAGTTTAGACGAATTTCGAGTGGACGAAGAAGCAGCTGGAGGGGATATAACCTGCAGGTGTTGTCAATGGTCCTTTTTGAAGGCCGGTACCAGGACAGTTCCGTTCCCACGGCCCAATTAATTTATGTGCTACAGACTGTTTACTATTATTTTCTTGCCTTGAAAACAGGCAATGAACACAAAAGTAATAGAACTCTGCAAAAACACGAATGACC